CTAAAAATGCCTAATTCCGACTTTTTTCATGGTTTTGACACTAGCCAACCACGGGCAAACGATGCACGGGAATTCAAGAGACGACTTTGAAATTTGGCACTTTTATTAATATTTAGTTTGAGTGCCAGGGCATCAGCGTCTAAAAAAGCAGCAAAGTTTTGCGCCATAGGTAAGGCTGTTTCTGCTGACTCCAGTGTTAATTTTAGCGATGCGATAATTGAGTTTTGATTCATCAGTACGGATAGTTTAATTGCGTTATCACTGTTCACTAGAACGGTGTGCATAACCGATGTGCTGTTTCAAGAAATGCTTAGTAAAATGCAGGTTAATGTCTCTGAATGCCAAAATATTATTTAAGCGGGGTTGTAGTATTAGTTATCATGCAGAATGGCCCTAATGTATTCTATTCACGCAAGGATAATCTCTTTTTGACTATGGGCAATGCCTCAACTCTGTAAAAACGCATAGTAATATAATTTGATTTTTTAATATATTTTCGGTGTTCTAAATAAGTTAATTATATTCCACAGCAAACATATATTCTCACTTGGTGGCAAACTATGCTTTTCACAATGTTTCTGCTAGAGTAGGAAATATATCTCGGCTTTAAGAAAACGATTTCAACTCCCGCATGATATTTCGCCCCATCTGCCGTTAAGCGTTCATCAGGGGTTCCCCAGCTAAGTGCAGCGTACATTCTAACATCGGGTATCACACATTTATCTATACCGTTTGGAATTTATCATATAGGATTCGTACTATTGGGCAATTATGCGATTAAATTGCTTAAGACTATACTGCATGATTATTAATATTTAAACCCTAACTAAGCAACATTTTCACTTAAAGAGCATGTTTCGAAATTTACGCAAACATGTAAGGAGATATAGCATCTACCGTAAACTTCATGAAGACTGTCCTTCGTCCAGAAGTCATGCACGTCCAGACTCTGTGAAACAATTTTCAGCACAAAACTGTCTTAAAAGTTCTAACATGTTCAACTTCAGTCATGCGGATCTGAACGAATCGGAATCCCCTCATATCCTCCCTGCCAAGGATGGCCGCTGCCACAAAAAATGGTCATATGGGAAGGGTTGGTCGGCCAAAATAACTACGGCTGTGCAGTTTCCGTCAAAAGTTAATGCATATTCTCATTCACAGGGCTCTTGTCTATAACCTTCAGTGAGTGAATTATGATAGAATTATGCAGCATGGTGATAATTTTTACAACCCTACTTAATTAACCTTTTCGAAAGGAAAACGCATTTTGGAAATGCTTTTGAGATGTCATGAGTTAGCCCAAATAATGTATGAATAATTTCACCTTCAAGTACGTCCGCGCAAACACTTAAAGATTCACAATCAATTTCTGAGCGTGTATGAAGCGAAGTTGTGTAAAGGTGCTGCACCATTTTCATCCTCCTACAGAGATTTAGTCGAAGGAATAATGAGAACGGGCAGTTTGATTGATCTTGAGTAGATCTGGGGTCCCTCATCATTGGTTCTAGCACCTTATTGGAGGCACAAGGTAAAATTCTAGACTGTACAGAATATCACTTTAAATTACTTTGTTAAACATTAACCGCATGAGAGGGGCAATAGCGTTATTAATTGTTGTCTGTTTTTGAAAAATGTATTCATCATCTTTGTTTTCATTCTTCCAGAACCTAATCTAGGGGATGAGGAAACAAATTAAACGCCTCTGGATAACGGGACTCTGGAGGGTTTTAAATCCCATGGCAAAGATTTTCTATGTAAAAATTTAAATCATTCGTATACCCCTAAAAACCGTAATGACAATATTTTATCTCCAATGGAATGGCAATAGAAGACGTCTGAATGCGCATCTACAATGAACATAATAATCGGCATTTGAATAGTACCTCCACGTATGAATACTTTGTCAAATCTGTGCCGCAATTTACGCGTGCATAACGGCTGATTGGTGGGTTTAAAAGTCGCAACGAATGACACACAGAGTGCAGGCGGTACCGCAGCAAACATGCTATAAAATTTCCGTGAATTTGTTAATGAGTCGTGAATAACCAGTTGGTCAAACAAAATGCTCCAGTACGCTCCGCGCCCAAATAGACTTATAGTCTACTTCATCATGACCATAGGTCTCTTCTGTTATGTGGGTGATGTAATAGGGTGGATTTCCACCTACAGGGTGTCTGCCATGATCAAAAATGCAAGTTATTGCAAGTTCGATTGGCAAAACCTTGTTTACTCGCCCAAGACCAACAGCTTTGAGTTGTCACTCGTGGTGGACGTTGCTAATGGTGGCCGCGGCATCGGCAGAAGTTCCGACCGGCTGATTCCTAGTCGACACATCCATCCGCGTCTTCCACGCCAACAAACCTATACATTTGCGGAGATGGCGGAAATCGAGGATAAACATTGGAGAGTGCCAATTCCCCGTACGGTTTTCATGCTCTACCCACAGGCGCTCGACATTAAACAGGTGGTGGCAAACATAACGAACTGCCGTCCCATAACAGACGTACTTGTCGTTTTGTAATATATGTCGTATGAGGCGTTAAGTCTACGCCCTAACTCTTATTCAAGTTTTATTTGAACGTAAGTTGCATTCAAACAGATTCGGATCATGTGATTATGTATATGCGGGTGCCCCTGACTTAATATTCTGATGCGAGTTTACCAGCCCGTATGAATTGCACTGGCAAAAACCAGCATATATCTTAGACGTATTTTTTATTTATTTTTGCCTGATGTATGTGGACGTTTGATATTTAAGCTACGTCTTCTTTTAAATTACAGCTACATTAACGGTTTAACCTGACCTTAGATTAATCCAACGTAGGAGAGTTTTTAAGACGTTATCGGAAGTGTTGACATTTTGTAACTTTACCTGGATTCTTCGTGCTGTCTGTAGAGTTGGTTGCGCGCCGCACGATGGTCACAAGATGGTTTCTTGTTAGTGACTCAAAGTTGCAAAGCAGTATGACGTTGAAGAGTTATTAAATGCCGGTTTTGAAACGTTTAACGCAGGAGATTGACAGATTTAGATGCAGATAATTTCGTAAAGTGAATGATCTTTAATCAGATTTACAAAATAGAACGAAATAAATCTCAGCGTTTTCCACGGAGAAGGAAAGAAATACATTGGGTTAACGATAGCATTATAAGCAAACGATCTACCTTAATTAAATGTCTGATTAAATGACCAATTAATTAACGCTCAATTGAATGTTTGGCACAGATATGCGGTTGGATATATGTCCAGCAAAAGTCCAACACCATGACCTTCATGGAGTAGTTAGCAATGATGTCGCCTTTTAGTTAGTAATGCGACATCGAAGTAGCTTACTCCTTTGGAAGAAATGCTCCGAATTCCATCGTGGGATGGTAGAGTCGGATAAGTTAGAATCGCATTCCCACTTTTGTCCTTAAAATGAAGGAGTATTAATAAAAAAAGATAAGCTGGCATTTCTTTAAAAAAACTGGCCTTCGTAAAATAAGCGCATATTTTGATATCGATATACCATATACTAATATCAAATAAAGACGGCCAGCCGTAACTGGAGTCAGAGTAACCTGGAATGTGTCTCGATAAGTTGGCAGCCTGTGGATTTGGTAAATAATTCGAAAATCAGCACAATCGACCGTGCATCAGGCAATGGGGTGGTTTTTTACATTTGGCTTGGTTTTCACAATTACAAATAGTCTTTACATTTAAGAATCCCCTGTGATACGGGAACGTGCATGATGTAGAAATGTGCGGAAACGTTTTAACATCTTTTTTCGTTCGGTTCCATCTAGTTTTAAAGGGAACGGTGGAACGCAGATAGCAAAATTAATGGTCCCAGGCGATTATACACAGTAGGTTGGCTAACGCATTTTAGGAAGTAACCCATCTACTGTATATGAATCGAAAAACTGGCATCCCAAGAAATTAACTAACAAGGATGGAGTTCTTTAGTAAACATAAATCTTGACTTTGTTAACTTTCGACACTGGTTCCCCAGCTCGTATTCAAACTATGGAAGTGATACAGCAATTAACTTCTAAACTGATTGTGGCAAATGATTATATAATTTGGCTTAAATCTGAGCCAATGTGTGTTAATTGCAATTCGTCATCCCCTCTGGATTGATTCCGCCACTTTGAATTTGTCTTTAACGATTTTGTATGTGGCATCTAGACCGATATGTCGGTTGATGCATGCTTCGTGTGAGTTCACTGACTGCCACTGACTGAGTGTTTCGGTCAACGAAACCTGACCGCGCGAACGCAGCAAATAAGTAACAGATTCCAATATCCCAATATTTTGCTGATTATCCCCTTCAGACAGCAGAGGTTCTGTAAGTGTTTTTGACACACTTGGAGATGAAGCGGAGCTGAGAAAAAGGTGCAAGACGTCAATTGTTAAACAATCATCAGATAAAAATGTAGAGCTAGACTAGACTGCTATTCTAACAAAAAAAAAACTTGTTGCGAGTACGGCGAATCTCGTTTTGAAATGGACAACTGGGATTGATATCACCAATCTGAACGATAGTTCATGTGCTTTACGTGCCATTTAAAATCCGTGGGACGTCTGTCGAAGCCAGAAGGTCATACTTAGATTTCGGGCTCAGTCACCATTTGCAGACAAACGATAGCCATGAGGATATGGGGCAACGTAATGGCAATTTCTGACTGATTGGCCACCATCGGCCAGCCATAATTAATTTCACTATTTAAAGTAGACGTAATGCCTGCAAAAACAGGTCAAGCGACTACTTGTTACAATAAAGTAGTAAAAGCGAATGACCAATCATTTAGCTGGATCGCCTCCTCCTTCTTAACAGGCACCAATATTCAATCAGACAATCAGATTCCTGAAAGTCAGCTCAACTGTCTGCGTGCCGGGGAAACCAGTCGAAAGGAATCTGGATGCTATTGTGATCGTCAAGTCCGCTGTCTACAATTTTGCAGATCGTAATCGTTTACGGAATGCTTTTGGTAAGGAAAAACAGCGTGAGCCTGAATTCCGCATGGCTATGATATTCTCCGTGGGACTACCACGCAGCAGCGGAGGTCGGTTCTTCCAACGTGACGGCTTTAACATCTCACTGCCAGATCGAGCCGGTGAGACCATTGAGGTTATGCAAACGAAGAGGTCAGAAGTTCTGAGAAATCTGACAGAAGAAGCTAGAGTCAACGGTGACCTTGTACTGGGTGACTACGAGGACACCTACTATAACCTTAGCCTCAAATTATTCCACACATACCAATGGGCCTCTAGCTTCTGTCGGCCACATTTCACCTCCCAACAACGACCTCCTGTCTTTATCTTCCTAGATGATGATTTTGCTTTCAATGCAAGGCGTATGAAGGTCGAATTGGGGGCCCTCACGGACGCGCAGATACGACGAGTGATTTGGGGCTTACCGCGTAATCACTCACCAGCAGTTCGGCATTTGGACTCAAAACGCTGGGAAAAGTGGTCCGTCTCCAAACGTGAGATGCCCTGGCCTTACTACCCGCATTTAGCCCCCGGCTGTTTTACCGTCATTGGCGCTGATGTTCTCCAGGAAATTGCGCTGGCCATGTATTTCACTCTACAATTTCCACTAGACGATGCCTGGTTAGGCATCGTCATGACAAAGTTAGATCTTGAATTTCAATTTCGTCCGCGCATGTACAACAAATGGCCTAGGGGTGTTAGAAAGAATTCGGTTCTGTTTGCACCCCTAGACTACCTCCTTACTTCAAAATGACTGCAAGTAACGTTTACTTGTAGATCTTATGTTATCCTATTTATATGATATACATTTGTCTTTAAGCCAACTATATGTGTAAAGTGGCATTTGTGCTATTATATCCGTTCCGGATTGAAGCATGCCTGAGATGGCGTGTAGTCGTTGAGCGGGCTTGATAGATAAGGGTATTTAGCTATGAACTCGTAGTTTCAATTTGGTCAGTTTATCTGAAGAGTATCCCAGAGCTATCTCTAACACGGGAAGTGGTTATATATTCCAGGCAAACCCTCTCCTACCCTTGATCCACAATCATGCTAAACTAAAAAATCTAATGAAAACATCCTTTTATCTGGCCTTCATAATGGCCGTAACTGAAAAAGCAAATGAATTTGATGATATTGACATGCCAACACCTTATTCCGTAACAATAAATCAATGGTTGATGCCCAATGCCAATGCTAATTTCTAACGCCATGCTTAACATTAACATTTATATCGAGCGCGAAGGGGAATGAGTGAAACTGAAGAGGGTCAAATTAAGCATGCCAAATCAGCATACAGGAGGTTGCCCAGATGATGAAAGGTGCCCATTTTTACGAATTATTACTAATCACCTGCAAACCGACTGCAAGGCATAGACCCCAAACTTACAATAATAAATAATAGCTTTAGGAGAATAAACAAAAAAGGAAAGTATTATTGAAGGTATACATGTTGTTTAAAAATGCCAATTCGTTACAATAGCAAAACAATCGAAAAAACGTCAAAATGGATGTAATTATGTAAACTGCAGTTTACATGCAGAGAACGTCTGCCCATAAATGACAAGGAGTAGATATAACAAAACAAATAAGATAGTCTCCAAAAGTCACCTTTAGTTAGGCTCACATTTGAATACTATATCTGAGTCGATGTATTGTTTGCCTACATTCCACATTTTGAGCATAGGCTCCAGAACGGTTTCCTAAAGCTTTGGTGTTTTCTTTACGCTTCTGAATTGATTAGAATGCATTTCAATATGGAAAACTAGATATCTGCCTGATGTTGCCGAAATTAACGTCGTAGGAATACGCGTGTTTAGAAAGGCCCATGTGGTCAGGGCAGCAAATGGCTAAACAATTTAATAACAGTTGTCAAGAATGATCGTTATTAGAATTGTGCGTGTATCACTCGAATGTTGACTTCGTGAAATGCATTTGCTGTTTCGTTTGTCCTGGATTACAGCAAGTTTAAGGTTGGCCCTGAGACATTCCTGCATACTCCATGACTGCCAACGTTTTTGACCTATAGTACAGGAAGGCAGATTCACTAACATGTGTTTATTGAAAGCTTAAAAATAAGTCGTATCGTCAACTTGAAAATGAAGAGTGAAGTACATAGCTAGGGCAATTTCCTGAAGAAGGTCGGCGCCGATGACAAGAAAGGCGCCGGAGGCGTAAGGCGCGAAGTAGGGCCAGGGCATTTGGCGTTTAGAGAAGATCCATTTTTTAAAACCTGGCGACACGAGAGGACGATATACTGGACTCCACATCTGCAGCATGCCCCAGGTCACTCGCCGAATTTGCGTGTCCGAGAATGCCTTCAGTTCAGTCTTCAAAATGGTTGCATTGAAGGCATAGTCATCGTCCAGAAGAATAAAGACAGGAGGTCGTTGTTGGAAAGTGATATGTGGACGACAGAAACGAGAGACCCATTGAAAGGTGTGGAATAACTTGAGACTAAGGTTATAGTAGGTGTCCTCGTAGTCACCCAGTAGGAGGTCACCGTTGACTCGAGCTTCTTCTGCCAGTTTTCTGAGAACTTCCGGACCTTCATACCGCATCTTCTCCAGCGACTCGCCCGCCCGGCCCGGCAGTGAGATGTTTAAACCGTCACGCTGAAAGTATCGACACCCGCTGCTTCGGGGTAGTCCTACGGAGAAGACCATGGCCATGCAGAAAGCCCGTTCACGCTTAACTTCTTTGGCATAGGTCCTCCGAATACGATCACGAACTGCCAAGTTGTAGACGGCTGACTTAACCACTACGATAGCATCCAGAGCTTCTTTGACTGCTTTTCCTGGCACGCAGACAGTCGAGCTAATATTGAAGAATCTGATCGCCTAATTAAATTTGGGAGCCTCTACAAAGGAGAGAAGGCGACTCAGCCAGATGAGACACAGTACACTGTGAAAGATGAGTTAAAATGAACAGTCGTATAAGTAGTTCGTTACTGACAACGTTAGATGGAGGGGATTCGTTGAACTGTCTACTGTAAGAAAACTTTGCTCTTTAGGAGACTTATCAGCAGTTGGGACCGGAAGCACAAAAATACGCAAACAGAGCACCAAGTTACTATTTCCCTTGTGCATGACAGAAACAGAATGATATCTCTTTGATCCTTTAAAACAGTGTCTAGTTTGCATCCACTTCTATATATAGCTATATATCCAGACATAACTGTTAGCTAATCGCCTGATGTACGTTAAGCAGCTATGACTTCTAAAAAAGCAAAAGGTGACATGTCGCCCCTTCATCAGGTATTTTCCTGCCTACTCTTGACTGTGTTGCGCAGAGGGATGGCTAACCTATCTTCGATTGCATTGATACCGGGAATGAGACATTGTGCACAACTTCTCCAAGAACTACAAGATGATGGCTTTAAGCATATGCTTGCACGATTATGTACATGAATGATGCCCTGAATTTACTTCATGGTCACTGGTAGTCAGATTCAACTAAGACAATATACTGCAGTCAAAAAAGTGCAGTATAAATGCTTCATTCGATGGATACCGCGTAAGCAGATGATGTATCCTTTGTGCTTTTCACACCTACCTCTGATATGGGACGGCAGCTCGTTATATTTGCCACCACCTGTTTCATACCCAGCGCCTGTGGGTAGAGCATGAAAACGGAACTGGGAATCGGGAGTCTCCAGTTATCATCATCGATCTCGGCCATCTCCGCAAACGTATAGTTCTGTTGGCGTGCAGGACGCAGCAGGATTTGTTGACTAGGGATGCACCGGTCGGCACTTCTGCCGATGCCGCGGCCACCGTTCGCAACATGCACCACGAGTGACAATTCAAACCTGCATGTCTTAGGCAAGTAAACGAGGTGTTGCCAGTCGGACTTGCAGTCGCTTGCTTTTCTGCCTGAATGGATCTCCCGATGGATGGCGATCCACCATCCTGCAATATAGAGACAGTTGAGGAGACCAACTGTCAAAAGGAAATAAACCAGACGTCTGTTCGGGCACGGAGCGTATTGGAGCATCGTAGTTGAGGCTCGAAGTACTCATAATCTTTCATAGAATTCGTTGAGCTTTTTATCGCCCGCTATCTAGTTGCGTTATTCGCCAAGTCTAATAAAGGCATTCACTGCGCCAACGGAAGTTGCCGATCAGAAAATATGCATAAATCAACCACGTCACGGGTTTTGCTGAAAACATTAGTCGTGGTGTGGCAGTTTAGACGTCGGTGCCAGAGTAGGTTAACTTAATTTCAAGGAAAATGCCCTGTGAACAAGTTAAATTAAGATAGACATTTTGGCATCACGTTCACATTCAAAAGTTTATTGTGCCAATGTTTCTTTATTTAAACGGAAGCGGATTTTCACGTGGGTTTCCTGCAAAAATTCACGCTAACGTATTACCAGCTCTGTGGGCAATGTGCGAACGGAGAGGTGAACAAATTAGTCAAGTTTTATTTGAAGAAAATACCAAAGCAACTCATCAAGTATTCGTAAGGTCGGTGATGATACCCATTTAGACATTTAAAAAGTCAATTTCGGCAAACATATGCCTTCCATTATTAAACACTAGACCGGCGTATCATCAGTATGTACTTTACCCTCTCTCATGTTACTATACAGGTCCGACGATGAATAGATGTCTGAAAGCGCACGCGATTATAGCAGCTACGCTGTTGATGCGTCCTGTATTCTTGTCAATAGCAGTTGTCTCGAGAGCCTTGACAGAAAAGGGGCAACAGTGTTTGAATACCTCTAGAATGACCCGCTCACGCGCTACAGCGTCTGCGCGAGAGAGCATGTCGGATGACGGATGCAATTGGAAGGGGTTGATGGCAGCTTGAATTCAGACCGACCAGCCGTTTGGAAGAAATCCTGTTTAGAAGTGCTCATGGCTAGAACGGGCAGGATCGGATGATGCAGGCATGCGGGGCATCATACAGGACGGGGCAGAAAATCAAAAGATGAAAATTTATTTTCGACCCTAAAAAGTGGACAACTACTACAAACGAGTCGGGGAAAAACGAAAAGAACGACACAGCGACTTGGTGGAAACAGGTTGAGGATTACTTGTCGATACGTGACCTTGGAGGTAATCTCGCTGAAGGAAAAAAACGAACGTGAGTGTCCATTAAAACAACCAAGGTAGAGCCTCTGTTCACATCCCCGGCTGTTACGACGTCGCACATGTGCTGTGTGACGTCAGTCGTCTAAAATGATTGGAGCCCTCCCCTGCCAGTTGGATGAATCAGAAGTCTAGTCGTCATACCAGCTACTCCAGGTCACGATCTGATTGGCCGAATTTCAACCCCATGCTGGTAAGTTACTTCCGTAATATGATTTGGCGTCCCTCTCGAATGGGCTCGAATTCGGAGCAACCCACATACACCTTTTGATGTAGTTTGACAGACGCCATCTCTGTGAGGACAAAGGAATGTTGATCGCGAAACCTATCGCCGGACATCGATGGAAAGGCAATCTAAATGTCGACATGAACAAAAAACTAACTTTGTTTCGCACAGGTAAACATTTGCTGGCAAAAAAACTGCTGGAGGAGTCAGGAAGAGTGGACGCTCTGTTGTGTACGCTAGATGTGTGGTGGCGTCTACGAGATTCTGGCTCGATTGGCCATTAGATCGTCACTAGCCAATTGTCTAAGATCCAAATAATGCACTGGCGTTCCAAATCCAGGCTTAAATCCGAATTTGGAACTAGCGGCATATTAAGTAGTCCAAATCGCATCAAAAAAGCAGTTCCGGAGTTAAGATGAACTCCTCAGTCACTTTGACGATGAACTTTAGGCGGCGTTTGAAACCCACTCCTCAAAAAGTTCCTACTTCGTCCTGTTTACCGACCCGCGTGCTGACGATGTCGAACTCATGGCGTTCTTCCAGCTGGTGCACGGCGACTTGAGGCAGTGGGTTGCCAATAGAAGCGAAAAACAAGTCCCAGGCAGTAGTCTTGAAGAATGGAGACACGATCGCTGGGAGAACAGCTTTATTAGCCTACCCGAACGACCCGTTTGTGATCAACTATTTGCTACTTGAGGCATCGTCCTATTTGGCCTTCACCATGTCAAGGGAAGTTATGGTATAGAATTTGATAAACTACATCCGATTGTTCGCCTGTGTCCAGACATTTCTTCATCTTTTTGGTTCTGACATGAATGTTATCCTTCGATGTTGTATCAGTATTCGCGTCGACTCCGTCAGACTTGGCGCACGACGTGCTACAGAAACGACCGAAGAGAAATACGAGGAAATGTGGAGGCCCAGGAAAACCCAAGCAACTAATGGCATTCTTTGCATTTTGCCTGCGAAGCTTTAGCATCTTCAGCAGCTTAATATGCGAACTAATCAAAGGACCGGTTAGGATAAGGTATATGACCGGAGAAGGCTACTATCGACTACTGCCTACCATATTTATCTACGTCAGCATTGTTAGGTAGGGTTTTTGGTAGACATCCAATCGTCGGTAGCCATGTCAAGAGGACATTTTTTTGAGCCAAACCGTCCGAAGGATGCGGTGCAGCAAAAATATCTATGAAGATTCAGTAGTCCGCACCCCTACATGCAATTCTTTAATAAAAAGCAAAAGATTTGTCCGCAATTGAGAGACAGCAATTGGCGCCCTCCTATGCCTAATCCCACCGCCCACATCCTCGTCAAGCTCAAGTTGTCTCCAATCGGTGTGAGTGAATCTGTCGAGGGGTGGTGTCCCAGTGACTTGTTTTGCTGGTTGCAGCGCGTGGCGCGTTCAAGTGGCGCATAGGCAGCTGCGGCTGTGCGGACGCAGGTATGCCCAAGCTGTCGATCGTGTGACTTCAAGTCAGCGAATAAAGAACGGCTAAAAGTAAAGGGGCGAATGACCTTAAGGCAACGACGTCTTGAACAATGACACCAGAGCGGTCATGGCGGCTGCCTGCTACAGGCGAACATTTCGTCTGCAATATGGGATATAAAGGTTGCCCACGTCTCGTTAGGCCCGCGTTGTTCAGCCCAAATCAAAGGCGGCACTGCGCATTTTTTACATGGACCCATACTGCTCCGCCATACAATAGGCTTCCTTTCAGTAGTTTTCATTGAAGGCGGCTCCAGTAGGCTTCTATGAGGTCCAACCCATATAACCCCCTTTTTTACATTCTGGTTAGAAAGGTTCGACCGGTTACCTTTACCTGACACTGGACATATACTGTATCCTTTCCAAAGGAACACCCACTGGCTTTCCAATATTCAGCTAAGACGCGGAATTGATCCCCTACGAGCTGGCAAATCTCACTTCAACCACTGCTAACATGGGATTTGGCGCCGATATGCTGAATAACAGGTTCTCGGGTTATCCAAACCTGCTTAACGGCATCTTCGCCGACATTCACTTTACACGAAAAGAACAATAGGCCGAGGAATTAGCCTCAATTGGTGTGCTCGTCACGCGTAAATCTGATTATAGACTCAATACCACAATGGGCAGAAATGAGAATAACACAGCTCAGGTTCGCAGCCATCATAGCAACAAACTGTTGATGCGCAGACGGGACTCCGTTAGGGTACAAACGCACTACAGCGGCCCTGACGGAAGAATACATGAACTAAGGCATCTGAGAGACCAGATGGTAAGGGACAACTATCCAAAAAATTTCATCAGCTGCTGCATACGCAGCAACCACGACGGACGGCCCATTGGGTCAAATGCATTTCCATTT